CTGGGTGGTAGAGTATGGAGACTCAACCTTGCAGGAGCCGAATTACCTTCCCAACGGCGGCACCAGTATCTCTGTCCCCCAGCAACTCATATGCTTCCCTTTCGTGTAGAAGTGAGCCGAGGTCTCCCTCCCTGCTCCACCAGCAATGGCTTCTTTCGTCTGGTGCTCATCAGCAAGGGACTTCATTATCCCTTTGGGCTTGAGGGAGCCACCACGCCCACATGTGGGTCCATCACGTGGTCCTCCATCGCGAGGCACCACAGTGACCGTCTGTCCCATCAGTCTGACTGCTCAAGTCCTCCCTTTCGGGCCTTGCTGGCGGCTGGGAATGCAAGGCCAGAACCCAGGCTTCGGGGGAGGCAAGTCTGGCCCCTCGACGGATGATCCCAGGGAAACTGGGGCCAGCTGTTCCGAGCCCCCGCTCAGTGGGAGCCTCCTTCCTGCCCAGAGGAAAGACCCCCTTGGGAATGCCTAAGGCGGGTGTGCCGGCTGAGAGCGGACACAAAGCCTGTCACAGTTCGCTGATCCCTGATCCCCTGAATCCCCCATCAGCCGCTGCCGGGTCTGGGGGCACCTGCGCAGGCACAGGAAATTGTGTGTGTGCGGAAGCCTGGTGGAGGACGTGAGGGCCCCCGAGGACCCCTTCCTGCGCAGCACAGGTGGTACCATCTCAGGGAGGGTGTGGAACCGGGAGCAAGGCGCCCTCACATCTGCAGACATCGCCCTTCAGGAGCCGGAGAGCCGGTGGGGGCCATGACAGTCTGATGTCAGCGCGCCGGGTCTGTTCTCTGCTGACAAAAGTAAGACACGGCCAAGGTCAGACTCGGGAAGGCGTAACAAGGCACCAGGGCTGTCCCCAGAGTGTCCTCAGGGTGGGCGGGACAACTGGGGTCCACCTCGGGGTGTCACACCCAGGGATGAACGTCCCTGAGCTACATGCCCAGCCCTCTCTATTTTTTTATTTTGAGACAGGGTCTTGCCAAAGTTGGACAAAACTTTTTGACAAGACTTCCTGTGATGCTCTTATGGTGAAAGTAAGAAAGAGAGGCCAGTTTTAAATACACAGATGCTCTTGTGTGTCAAATCCTCCGAGGCCTAATATCCCTCCAAGTAGAGGCCAGGCGGACCTCCTAGGGCAGTACCCCTTCTCCTACCCTGCAGCCTTGCCCAGCGGGGTGTGCAGAGGCTCCTGGATGGCTGCCTGGTGGCCTCCGTCTCAGCCCCTGGCCGCCGTGAGACCCTTGCTGCAAGATGCGGGGCTCAGCTTCATCCCAGGCCCAAGCCCTGCAGTCAGACACGTGGGAAGACGCAGCTGTGCGTGTCCACTGCAAGGTTTTACCCTGTCAGGAAGGGCTTTTCCCCGCGCCTTCAGCCTCCAGGTCTCCTGTTTGTGGCCTGTGCTCTGTCCCGAGCTGTGACAGTAAAGGCTCTGGACGGGGAACCGAAGACCGACTGCAAAGTTACTGGCTGGGGGCCGTTTTCTCAGCTCACAGAGAGGAGAGAGGGATCTGGAAGTCACACGCTTGTGAGGGTTCCATGAAGTAAAGTCTGGGAACTATGTGGAAATCCCGGCTTGATACAAATCAGAGCTGCCATTACTACTGCGTTCTTCCTGCGTAACTCTCCTGTGTGGAGGCTGTTATTTTACCGGATATTTTCTTTCAGTAAGAAAATGGACACTAACACAACACCCGCCTGGCAAGCACAAGGTCCTGAGTTCAATTCCCAGTACAAAAAAAAAGTGTGCAGAAGAAAATGAACACTAAGTAGAATTAGTTCTCTGACAGAAAGGAAATGGGATTTTTTTTGGCTCCTTCTTTGTGAGCTTTTCTGGCATGTGGTAGCAGGGCCAGGGCATCCTACAAGGGGCCATCGGCTCAGAGGCTGGGGACAGCGTGTGGGTGTGCGCGGGGCCTGGAATGTGCGTGGGCCAAGGGTGTCGGGCTGGAATCTGTGCACAGCGCCGGGAAACAATGGGGGACGTGTGGCCAGGGAAGAGGAGGTGGGGGGCGGCTTGCGGACCCACAGGCTGGGCAGCTGCAGGAACTGGCTAAGACGCTGGCACAAGTTAAATGGCATCCGGGGTCTCAACTCCTGCAAGTGACAGAGGAGTGCAAAGAAGGAAATGATTTGGGAGCCTAGGAAGGTTTGTGGTTGGGTGAGAGTCCTAGGACTTGGGAGGCTGAGACTAGAAGATCACCATGAGTTCAAGGCCAGGCTAGGCTACATAGTTCAAGGCCAGCCAGGACTGCACAGTGAGGCCTTTTCTCAAACAACACAACAACAACAAAAACCTCCACAACTTATTTTTAAATGATTCAGTCACCTTTAACTTTATAAATGTGTATACATACAGAAAATAAAGTCATGACTTGTGAGAAAAGATAGTAGGCGTGTGGGTGTTTACAGGAATATTGTTCCAGGGAATATTCTTTTGTGCATTTGAAATTTTTACAATAAAAATGTTGAAGAAAAAAGCTGGATAAGAGCTTAATTTCACATATTGCAAAATCTTCAGAACATAGGATCAGGTGAACGAAGCAACACACGGATCGGGATGTGTTTGAGGAGGGTGTTGAGTGAGCCGTGCCATTAACATAGATAGACATGTTTCTGTCTTTCTCCCATGTCAGAATTGTTGAATAACAGTAAACGCAGCCAGGCATGGTGGAGCACCCCTGTAATCCCAAGCACTCGGGAGGCTGAGGCAGGAGGATCTTTGCGAGTTCAAGACTAACCTTGGCTACAAAGTAGGCTCAAGACTGACCTGAACTGCATAGCGAGACCCTGCCTTGAAAAAAGACAAAAACCAACAAAAAACAGTAATTGTAGAAGCTCCGTCAGTTTCATCGGCTTTCATTCCCTGGGAACTTGGTTTCACTTGTTGATCGTGACCGTGGCGATCATGAGTCCTTTCACTCCGCCCCCATGTTGATTACTAATGTCTGTAACACATCACTCAGTGACGTGCAGATCACAGAAGGGCTAGGAAAGGACTCAAGGCCACCGTGGGATTTCCGGAGGCCGCAGCAGGCCAGAGGCAGGGCAGCAGTGCCGTGCCAAAGAGTTCTGTGGTGGCTGGACGAGGAGAGCAGCCCGGGCTCAGTGCTGCGCAGATCCAGAGCCAGGCAGCGTCCCAGAGGCCTGTGTCACCGGCAGGAAGAAGGCCATGACGAGCTGAAGCCAGGGACACAGAGCCAGAAGTCCATCATTCGCCAATTGCCTGGGCAAGGCTCGTGACGGGCGGCCCGGCAGAGGTTCCGAGTGCCGCCACCCACGGTCTGGGGAGCTCCTCCTTTAGAGGTCTAGGTATGGGGTGGGATAAGCTCTGGGCCGGGTTTCTCTGGTACGATTTGCTGTGCCTGTGTGTCCACGTGGTCCTCGTGCAACTTGATAAATTCCTAAATTCCTTTTTCTGTTTTTGTTTTTGGAGACAGGGTCTCACTATGTAGCCTAGGCTGGCCTCAAACTGGCAGCAGTTTCTCCTGCCTCAGCCTCCCCAGTGCCGAGATTACAGGTGCACACCACCACACCTGGCAATAAGCTTTTCATTGGCGTGAATAAGTTATGTATCAGTTCAAGCCTTGTGACTGTGCTGGGCCGATCCACTGGTTGTTATTTGTGCAGACAAGGTGTGGGGTCATTGTACCTTGGCACGTGTGCTCAAAATGGAGCCACTCTGGGCAAACTGGTACTTCAGAAAATAGAATAACGTAGGCACAGCCTGCCCCCTGCATTGGCAAAGACCTGTGTTGATGTCCAGGTTTGCTTGTCCAGAGGCAGAGGCACACCCAGAGGGTGAGAGGGAGAGGACAGAAGGAGACAGAGGTAGGAAGGAGCCCACTCCGTGTCTACACTTTGATCTTTGAATCACGTGAGTGAATTATCTCCTAAAATTCATTTTGAATAAAACATGGTTGAAGCGCAGAAGTCTTCCAAGGCAAGGAGACAGAGAAAAGCAGAGTCAGAGAGTCAGGAGGTGTGTTAGTCAGGTTCTCCTTGCTGGAACTGCACACCCTGCTGTGACTTCCAGGAGGACGGGTGTGGCTTGGCTCACAGTTCCAGGGGTTTCAGTCCGTGGTTGCTGGCCCCGCTGCTCCCAGGCCAGTGTGAGGCAGAAGCATCATAGGGCTGTGAAGGAAGCTGCTCATCTCACGGTGACTGGGAAGCAGAGAGAGGGGGAAAGACAGATGGTTTCAGGCCCAAGACTCCCTCACCCGTTCCACTGTCAGAGAAGCACCTCTGTCACTCCAGGACCCCTGGCAAAAGGGACAGGAGGCCCCCACAGGACAGGCGTGGCCCTGCCTCCCACCCAGCCCCCTGGAAGCTCTTCCTGCTTCTGCAACCTTCACACCATCACCTCAGCCACACAGTGGTTTCCATAGCAGCGATGTCCTTCCCAAAGGGAAAACGTGGAGGGACCCTGCAAGAGAAATGAAGGGGAAGTGAACGACACAGAAATGTGACGAATAAACAAAAAAATCCAGAGGGCCAGCGTGTGGCCTAGGATTGCCACTCTGTTGAGAAGACCCTGGCAGGCACACTTGGCTGTCGCGTTTCACTGTGGGTTTGTCACATGATCTTCCCCTGAAGCCACACAAGGAGGTGACAGAATCAGCTTTACCTGGTGAAGGATGATAGCGGCCCAGCTGTGTGGGGCAAGGGCCAGGGAAGCCCAGGAAGGTGCTGAGCCCCAGATAGGCGTCCTCAGCCACCGCAGAAGCTGAGTCCCTGGGCTGCCTGTGTGCCTTTCTTTCTTCCTTGGACGGCGTGCCCAGAGTACTGTGGCTGAGAGCACAGGCTTTGTGACATTTGCACCTGGTATGCTTCCCTGCTGTGTGATCTGGAGCAAGTTCCTCAACCACTCTGTGCCTCGATTTCCTAGTCTGTAAAAGGGGCAGGCAAGAATTGCCACATTCGTGGTAGTGGGCAAGGGTTCAATGAGATGACACGCTCAGAAGGTCGATTGATGACTCGGCTCCTTCCCCGTTTCTTTCCAGTTGGCCATGGCCGGAGCGACGGGGAGCGGCTGGTGGTGTATGACTTCCAGGTCTACGTCAGGGACGTGCTGCATCACGTGGACACCGTGCAGAAGGACTACCCCGGCCTGCCTGTCTTCCTGCTGGGCCACTCCATGGTAAGCAGACAGCTGGAGACCCGAGTCAGACGACTCCTGGGGCCCAGCCTCCTGGGGTCGCGGGGTGCGGTGTGGCCTGGCTTTCTCCCCCCTTGCAGTCTGTACCCCCTGCACTTGCAGTTCTGGGGACCTTAGAGCTCAGGATGCAGGCCCGTTCCTGGAGGGGAGCCCGGGCACTGCCCCTCTGTATCTGTCCCCTTGTGCCCGCGGTGCCATTTCACAGGGTCCCTGGGGAAGCCATTCCTACAAGCCACTCAAAAACCACTTCACTGCACAAATCTGCAGAATCTCCCCGGAATCGGCCAGGTTTAATCATGAAATCAGGGGTCCTCACACTGGACCAGATCAGCCCTCAGAAAGGCTGACTGGTTGGCGGAGGGCTGGGGACTTCTTGAAGCTGAATGCCTGGGTTCACTCACCAGGGGAGGCCTCCTGCCCGCTCTTCACGTCCGACCTCTGTGCCTCCATCCGCCTTCCCTGCCTAGCCCGCTGAGCGTCTGAAGCAGCACCCTTGGCTTTGATCACCTTTGAGCTCCCAGCAGCCAGGCCCACCCTCCCCTCACCCTCCACAGTTGCTGAGTATTTTTCTTAGAAACTAAATTTCTGGAGCCTTTATGAAACCAGGGGAAGAAAAGTACAGCAATCTATTATTATGATTGGATTTTACCACCCCACCCCCACCCGCTCCTCCCCCCCGCATCTTATGTGAGACTCAGAATGGATGTGTTGCCAGTCTGCCAGCTTTTGGCTTGAAATGAAACGAGGCTGTGTTATTGTTCAAGTCGGGCCCCACGGGCAGGATCCTTATTTATAAGGTTCTGCAATGTTTGCTCTTGGAAAACCCAGAGAGGGAAAAGGAGGCATGATCAAATGTCGGCTCTAGTTTGTCCAACATTTGATGGTGTCCATTCCAAGGTGGCCATCCCCGGGCTCTTGCCCGGGAGAGGCACAAGGTTTTGTGGCTGTGCTGCTGAGAAACGTGTGCCCGGCTTGCCTTGCAGGGCGGAGCCATCAGCATCCTTGCGGCTGCAGAGAGACCCAACCACTTCGCCGGCATGGCCCTCATTTCGCCTCTCGTCCTCCCCAGTCCGGAATCTGCAACCACTTTCAAGGTAAAGGGCTTCTCAGTCTCACCTCCCTGGAGGGCCCCTGGGACACAGCTTCCATTTATAGCTGGTGTGGAGGCCAGAGGGCCAGAGCCCCAGCCCGGATGTCACGGCTATTGTTTGAAGGTTTGGACAGGTATCGGGCATTGTTGCTGCCGGGCTCCTTCATTCCAAAAGTCAGACTCATTTCCCCGCAAAGCAAGAAAAAGGCCTTCCTGTTTGTGCATGTTTTGTTGGTGAGTTTAAGAGGGGAAAGGTTACGCGCACTCTGTCCAGAGAAGTTGCGCCAGCTGAAGGTCACCCAACCGGTGGAGCCACGTGCACTTTGAGGACTGGGTACTGCACCCTGGGAGGCTTTGGGCCCTGCTGCTTGGTTTATCTGAGGATAACATGTTGCACATGTTATCTGAGAACAACTCTCCTCGTCACGGCTCTGAGCCAGCGGAGAATCCCCAGAGCAACCTATGTGCCACCTCCCCAAGAAAGGCGATGGAGTCAGAGGCCTGCAGGCTCTTCCTGTTGATGTGGCGGCGGTGTAGACCTGTCCTTGCGGGCACAAAGCTTAACAGTAGATGCCACATAGCTCTAGTGAGGGTGACAGTCCTAGCCCATGTCCCCAAGGAACGTGCACCTCCTGCAGACCCGGGCAGAGGTCTCAGGACTCTCGAAGGGGCAGGAGGTGGTGCCCACAGGCTTACCCTATGGCCTACTACCAAGTGACAGTGACAGTGACAGTGGCGGCCCTGGGGAGCAGCACAGGCGGGGTGATGAGAGGAGTGGCTTCCCCTGCACCCCTCGGCTGGGTGGTTGAGAACCATGGAACGTTCACAGCACGCAGAGTCAACACCACTGTGTGACAGATGTCACTGCTGCCGGGGCTGTGCTGTCACTTGGTAACCACTTAACCCCATGATATGTTAAATAATGGCATTAAGCACAGGAGCACATGCCTGTAATCCCAGATCACAGCAGGGTGAGGCAGGAGAATTACCTCAAATTCGAGGCCAGCCTAGGGTACCTAGTAAGTTCAAGGCCAGCCTGAATTACATAATGAGACCCTGTCTCAGAAAAAAAAAAAAAAAGAAAGAAAGAGGCATTAGCTCTTATCCTCTCCCTGGGAACTAAACTAAGAACGTGTTCAGTGTCCTCCAGCCCGGGCCACTGATGCTGACCCCAGCACCAGCTTCCTGTGTGTCACAGGAATGGCAGCAAGCTGAGAGGGGGCGGGCTGGGCAAAAAGACCCCTGGGACGGTCTGATAGTCAAACCAGAGGACAGCGATGCACTTCACTCTGCAGAGAGGAGAGAGTCCTCAGCTCCACAGACTGCGCTCCCTGTGAAGGGCTTCCTGCTGGCGTGGGGTCCTTGCGTCAGTCAGCTGTAAATCTCGGTGCTGTGTGGACAGTTGTAGAGGTCCTCGTTGGATGATTGAGGTCCCTCAGCTTCACATGCCACATGCGCCCACCACTTCATCATTAAATGTGTGAATGAGGCCGGACCCCTCATGTGATTAGGGAGGGTGGAAGACCAGCCCACACCGCTCAGGCTCTGCCCTCAGGAGCCGCACAGGCAGGACCGCGGAGAAGAGGAGTGGCTTCCCCTGCACCCCTTGGCTGGATGTTTGAGGGCCGCAAAACGCTCCTGGCACACGGGGTCAACACCACTGTGTGACAGATGTCACTGCTGCCAGGACTGCCCGCTGCATGTGGAGGATACACCCACGGGGAAGCAAAGGACGTTACGTTGTCCGTTAGAGAAAAGCTAGGATCGGAGGGCTTTTCAGATAAAGTGCGAGGGGAGCACAGCAGCTGTGCCCATAGGTGGGGCTGATAGGGTTTCCCAGAATCCCCCAGGGCCTTGCACTAACTGGCGAAGGTGACGCTTCTGGATGCTCTGACCTTTTGGAGCCCGTGCTAATAGATCACCTTGTCAAATCAGAAGCCAGGGTCCCTGGGGAAACATGGGTCTCCTCTTATTAACCAAGACAAATTAGATTTCCCTTTTCCCTGGAGCTGAGGGCTACCTCCCACCCTAGAATCTGTTGCTGCTCCTGGCCACTGCAATTTTGAATGACATGGGCTGTGATCCTGGGCCCTGCCTGCCCTGGGGTCGCAATGACCATCCCTACTTCTCTGGTCTTCTCTAAGAACCTCCATGAAAGGGTGTCACAGAATCTTCTACTAAAAAGTTTCTGATTTAAAAAGTTTAAGAATAATCTGTGAGTATGGTTCAAGAGTCTTTGAACTATGGGGTCATTCTTCCCCGGTTCTTTGGGTGGGCCTGTTTGTTTTCTGGTTTTATTTTGTCATCTTACTTAGCCACACCTCCTGACACTCCTCCAACCAGACGTGCAAAGGGTCTCCCTGCAGGGACAGGACCTGCTGCAGGGAAGGTCTCTGATGGTGAACTTCTGGTCATCCCAGCAGTCGCTCCTGTTACCCTCAGAGATGCAGGGCTCCCCAGCACATGCCCTTGTCCAGCAGACCACCAGGGCGACTCCGGTGGGCAGTGTGAGACCCGAGTCTTTGGGTGCAGAGAAGCGCACAGGAGCTGAGCAGCTCCTCACCCCCGGCACAGGAGCACGCCAGCTCGCCCCCACCCCCAAATCTGCCACCATCTGCTTCTTAGCTGAGGCTGGTTTTCAACAAGCTGAGATATATTTAGCCCGGAGAAGGACACAATAAGGACAGAGCTTGGTCCCCTAGACACTGTGACGCTGGGGAAGTGGTTTCACAGAGAAAGCGGCAGCAACAGAGATTTAGGAACAGAAATCCCACGGGCCCCACCTCCGCTGTTGGCAAGGTGGATTCATGTCCCCTGACCCGTGCGTGTCAGGAACACTTGGGACTGCACAGCAGCTGGTCGCACCCTTCTTTCTCTGGGAGCCCCGGGGGAGACAAAAGTGTCCCGGGCAGAGCTGGGGGCTGGCCCCACTGCCAGGACGACAGTATTGGATGTGGCCTTTTCTGCTGTCCCCTGGGGTCCTGGGCAGGGACATAGGAGCCACTCAGTGCTTTGCCAAGGTGGTGAGAGGGACATGGGGAGCCCAGCCCGCGGCCGGGGCACACCCTGCAGACAGGAGCCGTTTCCACGCCCAGCTGAGGACACGAGGCCTCTTGGCTTGCTTGGGGGAAGGGAGCACTGGGGCACCTCCTCCCTCTGAAACACGCCTGAGGTCAGCTTCCCCTGACCCGGGCACTTCCCGTGCGAAAGTCACACGTCCCTGTGAGTACAGACTCCAGAGGGCGTTTGGGGTCGGTGGGAGAGCGGGCTGGGCACTGGCTGTCACCACCCTTCAAACTGAAGCTGCCCTTTGCCCCTGGAGCCCAGAACTCAGCTGTGACCAGGAGGTGGCACCAGTGGCCACAGCAGGGAGCTGCAGCGGAGAACTCACCCGCTCACTCAGAGCTGGGGTTCACGTTTCCAGACACATGACTCGAGGGACAAGCCGTCCATCCAGCAAGTCCCTGCAGACCGCTTAGGGGGCTGCTCTGTGAGGTGTGCTGGGAAAAGAGGAGGCATGTCTACTGCACCCTGTGCCGAGGGTATCCGTCCTTCCGAGGAACCCTGCTGTGTCACCAAGTGGCTGTCCCTGTCCTCGTCTCTGGCCACAGAGCTGCCCCCAAAGAAGGCTCCGCACGGCAGCCAGGCAGCACACAGATCAGCTTGCTGGAAGCGCGGTCTGACACGGCTTTGCTGAAGGGCCTCAAAATCTCCCGCACCCGTCAGGAGCCCCAGACAGGCGCCGTCTCTGTCCCAGTGCCCCGACAGCCCAAGTCAAGTTAGTGCCGCTGCAGAGCTGCAGAGCTTCCAGCTCCTCCGGCCCTAGCCCTCGGTGTGCTCACTCAAGGGAGTCGTGGGGGCCAGAGCCCTATGACGAAGGCCACATGGTAACCAGACCCCAGAAGGGGCAGTGGTGTAATGGTCTTGACCCCACCTCCAGTCTTGGTGAGCACTTGGGGTTGGGACCTCTTTGTCTCCTGGGAAGCAGATAGCTGGAGCCCAGTTACTGGTGGAAGCTGGGGGAGATATGACTGGCCTGGCTGGAGCAGCCATCTGGTCAACCTCAACAGCCTTGCCCTGGTGGAGGCTTGGCTGTGGTTTCTGTCTTCCCCTCTGCTTCCTGCCCCCATCCTCAACTCTGCTTCCATCTTCCTCCCCCATCTTGCGCTTTCCTCAATCATGAAATCAACCAACCTGAGAACAGTGGAGGTCAGACAAGGTGGCCTGTGCTTTTGATTCCAGCTACTTGGGAGGCTGGGGTAGGATTGAAAATTCAGGGCCAGTCTGGAGGCCCAGAACAGAAGGTGGGGAAGAGAATCCTTTTGCAGCTGCTCAGAGCATCCCAACCCTGTTTATAGTTCACCCCTCTTTCTTGGTGTTTTGGAGGGGAAGAGGTTAAGCATCTGTGTTGCTTTCTTTTCTTTTCTTTTTGAGCCTCTGCCTAGTGGAGTCTTGTTAGAAATGAAATTGGAACTGACCTGTTTAGAGAAAGAGCTAATGGTCAGAGCTGTCTGAACTTTGCATAGGGTGGCTCCTTCCAAAGGGCAGCTTGCTGCTGGCCCAAGGGCTGTGCTTGGAGCTGGGAGACCATGGGACATCAGCATCTGTGCATCTGTGTGCCGAGACCTCACTCTTCTCCACACGGATCCCGAGCTTAGGACCAGGACGTGCGCATGCGCACAGACACGACAAGGCATAGTCACCCTTCAAGAGTTGAGGGCTGTGGCTGGACAGCCAGGCCTGTTGCTAGGATGCTTGAACCCTCCTCTACCTGGGGCTGAGCTGAGCCTTTCAGATACATTCACCTGTCCTAAATCCACTACTCCCAGGCCTCTCAGGGCAGCAGGCACGGCTGCCTCCATACAGGAATCTTTGTGGCCGCAGGTCAGCTGGCCCCTTTCCCGTTAGCAGCTTCTCCCGGCCCCTTGGGTGGAAATAGGGCATAGGTTTGGGGACACAGGGAGTGTGTCTCCCCTGTGCCTAGATCTTGGTGATGTACCTGCAGAACGTACCAGGTAGGCAAAGGGAGAGATCTGGTGGCAAGCTCGGATGGAGGGGCTGGACTCCGTGTGATCTTGTCATGTGCCCCCTTGACTAGGGATGGGGAGACGCTGGCTTGCAGGCACGCACTGTGTCCTGGGTGGGGCAAGCAGATGGGCCAAGGAGAGGGTGACTGGCGTTTGTATGCAGGACTTCCTAGCATGTGTGGCCTTGGGGTGGCTCTTGAGCCTATAAGGGATAAACCCAGTCACCCCGAGGCAGGTGTGTCAGTGCAGGGCAGCAAGAGCAACACCATACCCAGAAGTTAGTCCTGCGTAACCTCAGAATTATGATTTTGTCCTTGTGGTGATGCCCTGAGGCTACCATCTCTTGGGAGGAGTCCCTGGGCTGGTGTCCCTCGTGCACACAGTCTAGTGACAACTTTTTTCACGTTTACATTTTTCAACTTTTGAACACACGGATCCCAAATACAGGACTTAGGGTTCCTGGAGGAGCATCAGTTCTTGGAGTTCACAGACGTCTGATCCAGCTTGCGAAATTCCCCTTTGTGTCCTGTCCCAAGTGATGACCCTCCTTTCCAGGTCTGGGCATGGAGCTGGCCCTGGCGTCGTGACTCTGGGTATACTTGTGTCCATGCCCCCCAGGAGGCTCCTCAGGGGGCTGCCGCAGGCCCTGGCAGGAGGGGGTTTGTGTGGCTGGACACCAAGGTCAGGGTGCAACAACCTCAGCCTTGTCCCTGGGGACACGGGTGCCTGTTCCAGAGGGGAATTGCTGGTGTGTAGCACCTGTGGAAGGCAGAGCTGGCCACATGGTGTGGGTGAGGAGCATGCATGTGGGGTCCCTCAGTACCCACGCCCAATGGACTCTGCCTGGTCCCCAGTGACCCGAGAAGCCCCTGGGGATCCAAAGGGAGGTCAGAGGACCAGGGATATAGCTCAGCGGCACAAGCACCTGCCTGGCAGGTGCAAGGTCCTGAGTTTGATTCCTGGTACCAAAAAAAAAAAAAAAAGCAAAGGGAGGTCGGGGGAGTCCAGACCTAGTCAGCCCCCCTCGACAACCCTGAGGACAAACCGGAGTTCTCGAGGATGCTCACAGAGAAAGGGAGAGACCAAGAGACAGTGGGACACAGTGACACACCGGGAGGGAGAGAGAAGCCCGGCCGTGTGCCATCCAGGGAAGGGGTGGGCTCAGCCAGCCCGCGGCTCCCTTCTGAGCACACAAGTGGCCGGGCCTCCAGTTCCTTGTCGTTACATGAGGACAAAGCTGAGCTTCACAGGATTTTTGTAAAGATCAGAAGCCCAGGCACCTAACAGAGAAGACTCCCGGTGAATGGGTGCCTGCCCCTCCCCTGAGGTCCTCGATGTGCCGTGAGCCTTCGCTGGGAGCCTGCCGTACAGTGCTAATTCCGGCATCTCACAGCTCACTTCGGAAATAGCATCTTCCGTCTCCCAGTCTGCGCATGCAGAAGGGCAGGCAGCCCCTCTCTGAGGCAGACGTGTGACATCCGGATCTGTTTTCCTGGGATCACATGGGGGGCTGAATGAGGCTCAAGGCCAGTTAGTAGTACGTATGGTGCTGGGGACAGAAGCCAGGGCCCAACCTGACCCTCAGCCCAGTCAGCATGCATGAGCACCCACTGTGTGCAGACTTCCGCGTTTAGGTGTTGTCTGGGTCCCATGTGACGAGGGGCCACTGAAAGCTGAGGAAACAGGCAGCGAGGCTGAGGGCTGCTCCCTTCACAACCCGCCTGGGCCGCAAATCCAGTCGGTTTGCCTCCCTCTGCCCCTCTGGCTCCTAAATAGGATTCTTTCTCATCTGAGCTTCCTGATCACTCGCCACCTATGACCCAGATGATTCCGCCCTGCTGTTTGTTGCTAGGACCTTACACATACAGACTATTCTGACTCACACAACCGAGGAGGGGTTGCAGGGAGAATGGCCACACAGAATCCATAGCAGGCCAAAAAGAGACATGACACAGCCGGGTATGGTGGCGCACGCCTGTGATCCCAGCACTGGGGAGGCTGAGGCAGGGGGATTGCTGTGAGTTCAAGGCCAGCCTGGGCTACATAGCAAGACCCTGTCTCAGAAAAAGAAACAAAACATAGAAAAGACATTCCTGCCTCACTGTGGAGGCCGCCTCGTCCACCCGCCACAAGGAGAACCCAGAGAGTGGGGCTGAGGTTGGCTGAGTCACGATTGTTCACGGGGGAAAGCGCCCAGCTGCAGGGCAGCTAGGAGTCCACCCGTCGCTCCCTGCAGACTGTCACTCGGGGGGAGCCCACATGGGTCCCAGCTCACCCGTCTCTTCTGCTTTCTCCCTAGATCTTTGCCGCAAAAGTGCTCAACCTGATCATGCCCAACCTGTCCCTGGGAGCCATTGACCCCAGCCTCCTCTCTCGGAACAAGGAGGAGGTGAGTGTCCCGCTAGAGCCAGGCGGCCCCTGACAGTGGGCACGGAGAAGCAGGAGGCTGTGTCTTGGCTTTGGGGCCGGGTGAAAATGGGGTGGCAGTGAGAGCTGCGACCTAAGCACCCAGAGAACCAGAAGAAGCCGTGTGCCGTGGCCAGGCCTCTTCGGGGCACAAGGGATGACAACCCAAGTCAAAGCCATTTAAGCACGAGCGGGTGGCACCTGGGTCTTGGCTGCATGTGCCGGGGGTTGTGGTGGTGCACACCTGTGGTCCCAGCACTGTGGAGGCTGAGGTGGGAGGGCCACGAGTTCCAGCCCAGCGCGGGCAGCTTAGCACCTTAGCAAGACGCTGTCTCAAAATTTGAAAATGGCAAAAGGGCTGGGGATGCAGCTCGGTGCAAAGGCCCTGGAGTTCATCCCCAGTAGTGGAAAAAATAAAGTCCACTCCCAGGCTTCCGCCAGGCGGGAACAAAGGGGCCGCCAGTAGCTTTGCCCGCACGGCCGGGGGCAGTGAGTGTCTGGGGCTGATCCTGCCAGGCTGGCTCCAGGCCCGGCGGCGTCCGGGAGGGCGTGGCACAGCCTCGCACCCTCAGGCCGAAGGAGCTCGGGCAGGCGGCGGGAACAGAGAGCAGACCGGAGCGTGCGGGAGGCCCCAGGATGAGCCCAGCGTGCAGTACGTCGTTGGCCGCTCTTCTCCCTCAGTTTCCCCTTTGGCCTCCTGATGGTGAAATCGCCACGTTGCTGGCTCTCTCGGGTCCTGGCCATCCTGGGGCTGCCTCGGTTTCTCCAGGCAGGCGGGCTCCAGCGTCAGGCCTCCGGCCCATGGCCGCCCTGGGGCTCACTGAAAATGTCGACACACCTTTGTCGGAAGAGCCCACCAGGCCCCCAGACCCACGTCCTGGAGCAAATCTGACTCAGCTGTGGCCCTTTGAGAGGTGCCTGCTCTTTCCAGATGAGTGCTGGGTAAGGAAGGAGCAATTCCGAAAATCCGGTCTTTGGAGTGGAACCCTAGAACCTCAGGGGCCAGAAAGACCAAAGCCCACGCTGATGTCACAGCCTTCAGGGACCCATTTCCCGGACAAGAAAGCTGGGCTCAGAGACTTTCAGCAACCTGTCCATGTTGCACAGCAGTCAGGGGCCCCAGGTTGCCACACAAGCCCGGGGGTAATCGAGTGCTGGTTCCCTCCTGAGCTCCTCTCTCCGGGTGAGGCCCCAGTCCCTGCAGCCAGCGCTGCAGGCCCCTGTGCTGCACAAGATCCGCAGTGGGGACCTCGGTGGGAGGCAGCGGCTCCTTCCCCTGCCATGTCCCCAACCCTGGCTCAGGGAGCCTCGCTGCAGCCGTCTCAGGGCAACCGTGGGTTTAAAGACAGGCAGAGAGTGAGAGGGCCTGGGCCCCGAGCAACCCGAGCACAGCGTCCGGGGGACCGAGCTGTTGATCTTCCCACCCAGAACCCGGCCAGGGAGGATGGGATGGGACAAGGAGCAATTCCAGACCCTCATGTGGAAAACAGCCCATGCCTGGCTCTGTGCGCCATCTTTGGAATAATGGGCAATGCCCTGAAGGGCTTGTGCCCCTCGGAGGGACAGTGCCCCAGGATGGCCATGCCCCTTCCTCCTCCCACTGGCCACCTGCTGTCCTGCACCCATGACCACCTGGTTATGGTGACAAACCCTAAGGTCTGGCCCTCTGGGGAGGATTCAGGAGGGGGTCCAGGATGGGAGGCCTGAAGGCTGCACTCCAGTTGGGAAAATAAGGAGCGAGGTGTAGTGGCGGACACCTGTGATTCCAACACTTGGGAGGCTGAGGCAGGAGGGTCCACCTCAAGTTCCAGGTCAGCCTGGCTACATAGTGAGTTCAGGGCCCGCTTGGGCTACAAAAGAATAAGCATTCACATTCCTCCACCACCTCCAGGGAATTAGCCCCTTGCCTGGGGCCTGTCACCTGAGTGTCCTTTGAGCTTTGTGCTGGACTTTAAAAATAGCAACACCAAGGGGAAAATGTGTTCACCACAGGCTCCTCCTGCCATGACATGGGGTGTCCTGAGGCCCAGCTTTAGCTGATATTTCCCAGGGATCCCTACAGCTCTGAACACTTGAGCTAAGCACGGTGCTTGAAGAACTGGCCAGAGCGGTGAGCAGGACCGTGGATCAGGGAGTCTGTCTGGGGCCAGCGGCTCTGGGCCCAGGTGTCCGCAGCGGTGTTCGTTGGGGTTTGCTGTGGCAAGCCTTCTCGCAGCCGCCCCGGACTGTCAGCATCACCTCGCAGCTGCCGCCCCGTCGGCACGGGCCAAGCCTCCTCGGGGGACGGCAGCAGGAAGCCTTGCTCGCGCCCCACACCACCCTGAACCTGCCATCACACCTCGTTCTGGAGAGACCCGTCACCCTCGTCTGACTGTAACCCGGGAAGTCGGGCTTACCACCGGCACCTGCAGTCGTGGAAGCTTGGGCCCAGAGAGGGCAAGTTGCTGACTGCAGAACACACAGCTCCCCTGGGCAGATCTGAGCCCAGGCTCTTTGTGTTCCCGGCCAAATGCTCTTGGCAGTGGCAGCCCGGGAACAAAGTTGCTGTCCCTCTGACATTTATTGGGCTTGGCCACCATCTAGGGTCCCTGCTCAGAATGCCATGTGACTGGCACTTTCACCCTCCACCCCAGCAGTGGCTTTGTGGACTGCAGTGACCCCCTCCCCTGCCAGAAAGCCTTGAGTGCCATTTGAGTTATTTCCCAGGCCACGGATGCTGGGGAAGAGCAGCGGGGAGGGGCATCAGCATCTCCTGGAGCCCTTGCACCACTGGCAGCAGAAGCACGGCTTTCTTCCCGAGCCTGGGGCAGAAGGTGGAGGAAGAAGGCTGTGATGCTTTTCTCCCTTTTTTAAGAATGGGTCTCACTATGTAGCCCAGGCTGGCCTTGAACTCACAGCAATTCTCCTGCCTCAGCCTCCTGTGTGCTGGGATTACAGGTGTGTGCCACCACACCCGGCTGATTTTTTGCACTGCACGGATGGAAGCTGCAGCCTCCTTGTGCCTTCTTCTGGGTGAGCACTCGCTCCCCCTGAGCCACGGGCACAGTGAGACTCCGGGCTCCGAGTGCGCCTATGCGGAGCACTGCTGTTTCCAGATGACACTGTTTTCAGTGAGCACTGGGTGACCGGTTTGAATGCCAGGGCGAGGCCCAGATGGAGCAGCAGCTCAGCTTCCTTTACTCTCTTCGGCGTGGCCAGTGTTGATGATTAGGTCCCCTGCCACCCTGACCCCTCACGGCCCCACGCACAGGGCCAGGAGGTGTGGGAAGGCCCTTGCGGGGCACCGAGAGCTCAGCCACATCCACGCCTTCAGCTACTTGCAGCTGCAGCTGACCGTAAGCTGAGCCGCCCGTTCTGTCCCCAGGAGCCCCTCGACCTCCGGTCAGCTTCTCGGAAGTGCGGTGAGCAGCTCTTCTGTTTCTGCAGAAGAGTGGTCTAGTTTAGGAACCAAAAGTTCACTGATGCCCTAAAAGACCCGCAAGGGGCCGAGCGTGGTGGCACACACCTGTAATCCCAGCACTTGGGAGGCTGAGGCAGGCGGATCACTGTGTTTGAGGCCAGTCTGGGCTACATAGTGAGACCCTGTCTCAAAAGGCAAAAAAAAGGTAGGGGGCTCTGCAGACCCCAGCAGGCCAGCTTGGCTCCTCTCAGCTGGGCTTGGAACAACCCCAAGACAGAGTCTGTGTCCAGAGTAAACAGAAAAGATGCATGCTGGGCTCGGCTCTGGCGCCTCCGCCTGGTGGAGTCCTCTGGGGACACATCTCAGCCGGCCAGAACAGCGCTGCTCTGAACAGGGTGTGCACACATCTCAGACCCGCCCCTTCGGCTGTGTCCCCAGAAATGAGTGTGCTAGGTGAGGTGATACTGCGGGTGGAATCCAGGGCCTCTCCCGTGCTAGACAAGTGCTTACCGCTGAGCTGCACCCCAGACCTTTTTAGTTTTTATTTTGAGCCAGCATGTCACTAAGTAGCCCAGGGGGACCTTGAACTCAAATCCTTCGCCTCAGCCTCCCCAGTAGCTGAGGTCACAGGTGTGCGCCACTGCACCTGGCCCTGTATTGAATTTAAGGAAGCGCTATGCTGTTTCCCACAGTGGCGGCAGCATTTTCCCTTCCTGCCACCGGTGCACAGGTGCCAGGGCCTCTGTGACCCCTGGGAGCTGTCGTGGCGGCCACTTCCCGGATCTCCTCACACCTCCCACTTGGATTTCGCTGGTGGTTCCCGACCTGTGCCACACCACTTTGGGCTCACAGGGCACTCAGAGGCCACCCTGGGGTGGTGTGAGGTCATTTTGGAGAAGGTGTTCACCGGCTCAGACCCAGGTGCGGGCTGAGGCTGACGGACCCAAGGGCGAGGCTGAGACCACAGTGACCAGAGGGGAGGACGGAAAGCCCCGCCCTCAGTCCCTGGGGTTCTCGACTGGGTCAGGAAGGTCAGGCTGCGCAGCTGCCGCCACCAGCAGGATAGAAGGCTGGGGACACCTCCCTGGGGCACGGGGCCACAGAACAGGTGAGGACTCCAGCCCCAAGAACAGGCACTGCTGCTCTCAGCCAGCCCCGGGGTCATCTGGAGCCAGAGCCACGGGGTCCCTGAGACCCCAGGCTGTAACCGGGCTCCTGCTTCCAGCGGGCAGGTCCCTGGCCACGGCGCAAACAAGAGGTGTGGGGGTGCCAGAGACGTGCCAAGTACCAGGGACTTACGACTTTTTAAAAAAATTTAACTCTTTTTCTTGAGATCATCATGATCAACATGCAGTGATATCATGGGTCATCCGAGCACTCAGAAGGTTGAGGCAGGAGAATCACTGCAAGTTCAAGGCCAAGATAAATAGCGAGACCCTGTCTCAAAATAACAACAACAACAACAACAATAATAATAGAGAGGTCCCATCTCCCCTTAATCAATTTCCCCAAGAGAAACACCTTGCAAAACCGTGGGGCGATATCCTAACCCGGATATTGGCCTTGATACAGTCAGGTCATAGGGCATTCATACCCATGCCAGGACCCCCCACTTTGCCCTTTCACGGCCACTTCCACTTCTTTCGTGTGCTGTCCCCCTCCTCATCCCCAACAGCCACACACCTTCATTGTTGTGTGAGTTCAGGGATTAGTCACATAGGAGTCTGGGGGCACAGCTCAGTGGTGGAGCCCTTGCTTAGCACGTGTGAGGCCCTGGATTCCACCCGTATCCCCGCAGGAAAAAATTAAAAGAGCTGTGTATGATGGTGCACGCCTATAACCCCAGCTGCGTGGGAGGCTGAGGCAGGAGGATCATGAGTTTAAGGCCAGCCTAGGCAACTTAGTGAGACCCTGACTCAAATTTTTTTTCTTTTTTTTTTTTTTTTTTTTGGTTTTTCTCCGGTACCGGGAACCGAACTCACGACCTTGCGCTTGCCAAGCAGCCCGACTCAAATTTTAAAAGGGGCTGGAGATGTGGCTCAGTAGTAGACAACATGCTTAGCATGCACAAGGCCTTCGGCTCCGTCCCCAACACTTCGAAAAGAGGCAGGGTGGCTATAAGTGGAATCAGACAGTAATTAACTTTTGGAGACAAATTCCTGCTCTTTGCTTTTGAAAGGACTTGTGACTTGTTTTGCTGATGGGTCCCCTGGCGGGGGTGGAGGGCGCCTGGCCATCTCCTTCCTGGGGAACAGAACAGAACACATGCCTAGGACCGCTGGCATTCTCCATCTTAAACCCTCAAAACCCCAAAGCAGCTGTGATTGGGATGGAGGGCAGGGTTCAGGCTCCCAGCGTCAGCTCCCCGCCCCCTCGTCTGTTTCCCCCTGGCCCCACTTCGGCTTCGGCTGTGGCTGTGGTTCACATCAGCGCCTGCCCTTTCCCCGACACATCTGGTGGCTCTTTCCCATGGCCCAGAATAGATCATTGTGCAAAGAGTGTATGTGCTTGAGATGTGGAAGAGGAAGCCAAGGACAGGAACCCGCTGGGGCAGTGGAGCAGTGTGGCCGGGAGCAGATGCCCCCAAGGGGCCTGGTGGTCCGGGTCAGCAGGACAAAGTGTTAGGCCGGCTTCAGGAAGTGGGCGGTCAGAGGACACATCACAGCAAGCCATGGAGCCCCTCCCTTGCAGAGCCCCGGAGGAGACTGGGTGTAGACACAGAATGTGCAGCGGGAGTTGACCAGAGGATACATGAGTCTATTGAATGCCAGATGCCACACAACAGCACCGACACAGGAGAGGGCTCAGCTCTTTGGCTGGTGACTTGCCAGTGCTGGGATACTGTCTTGTGGCTCAGTACTGCCAGCTGTGACCCTTGCCCATTTGGCCCAACACTGTCTTCACAAGCTCCATGGGACTCATGTATCCACTGGCCATCACCACCCGCACATTCTGTGTCTACACCCAGTCTCCTCCCGGCCTCTGCAAGGGAGGGGCTACCTGCCCCGCTGAGAGTATACGCCTAGCTCTTCTGCTCAGCTCCTATTGGTCAGCACCCAGTCACATGACTGTGCCTAGCTGCAAGGGAGGCTGAGAAAAGTAGTCTTTAGTCTGGGAAGTTATATACCTAACTGAATATCCAGGAGTCTACAGATGAGAACAGGAATTGGGGTGACCGATAGCAGGCGACTGTCAAGCCTCTCTGAGCCTTAGTTTCCTCTATAATGCCTTTCTTTGTTTGTTTGTTTGTTTTTTTGTTTTTCTCCGGTACCAGGAACCGAACTCACGACCTTGCGCTTGCCAGGCAGGCGCTTTTGCCGCTGAGCTAAATCCCCAGCCCTATAATGCCTTTCTTGAGGTGGTTGTGAGAAGTAAATGCATTACCGGGCATATAAATAGTACAGTACCTGCAGCCGGAGCTCACATGTGCACTGTTCTTATTTTTATTACTCAAGAAGATCCTGGACAGAATGCCCTGGTGCCGTGCTTGGCACAGGCTGTGGTGCTGGCACACAGCACTGTCCCACTATTGCTCTTATTGCTAACCGTCCTTTGAGCCACACTACTATCCACCCTGAAGGGGAGCAGGCCCTGGGCGACTGTCCCCGCACTGCCCCTGCGCTGCTTGCTGGTCTTGTGACCCCTTAGCCTGTGAGCAGATGGCCTGGCCCTGTGTCCTGATGTCAGCTCAGCTGCAGGAAGTGGCTAATCCATCTCATGCGGCTTCACAAATGGTCCACTCTGCGGTGCTCAGCCCCCAGCATGGGACGGAGTCCAGGATGGCAGGGTGGCCTCAGGACAACCTGTCCCTCTCAGAATAGGTCGGGAGCTCTGGCCTGGGCCCAGTGGGGGTGGGGGCAGAGGGACTGTCGCCTTGCCTTTGGGGACCCTGAGGGGAGCCCAGGAGGCCTGTACTTCAACCTGTCCCTGGACCACACCCCATGCCAGGTCTCTAGCCCGCTCCAAATCCATCAGCCAGGGTGAGAGAAGAAGCAGAGAGTGGTGTAGCCTCATGCCTTCCCCTGAAGCAGCGTGGAGACTTCTAGAAACTTCTCCCCCAGTCCCTGTGGGGCAGATAGCCTGCCTCAGGCCACATATTAAGCAATACTGAGCTGTCCATGCTGCGTGAAGCCGGAAACACAGAGAGGCCAAGAAGCGTGGGATCAGGGTCCCTGCATGGCCCAGAGGGGTGGCCTAGGTCCTAAGCCTCTAGCAGGGATGAGTGGGCGGTAGGCTAGTGACTGAGGAGGGAGGACGCTGCCTGGACACATCCCGTGGAGGGGCAGAGATGGCCTGGACATCCTGGAGCAGCTGGCTGCCCAGAGAGGCCTCTGCAGAGCTACTTAGGGGTGAAATCATCAAAGTGAGCAGTGTGATGCCGCTAATATTTTAAAAACACAAATTAATACTCCAAACGTTCAACAGGCCTATGTGCACACAGCCCTCAGTACCCTTACGCTGCACTTCCAAGGATTTAATTTGATTTCCTCTTGCCATTTTCCCTAAACAATAATCTGTATAGTATTTGCATTGTCCTGGGAGAGATACACTGTGCGGAAATGATCTAAATTAAGTGGGCAGGTGCACGTAGGTTATATGCAAATACGGGACCTTTTTTTTTTTTTTTTTTTTTTTTTTTGGTTTTTCTCTGGTACCGGGAACCGAACTCACGACCTTGCGCTTGCCAGGCAGGCGCTTTTGCCGCTGAGCTAAATCCCCAGCCCTATAGGGCCATTTTACATGAGGGGCTTGGGCAGCCTTGAGCTTGCTGCCCTTGGGGGTCCTGGAACAAGCCTGGTGGGGCCAACAGTTCCGATCCGGCTCATAGGAGGGTGAACAGGCTGCCGGCCCTCGGTAGTCCTGTACCAGACCCAGACGACTTGAAGGGACTCAGTGCTGAGGGAAAGGTCATGTGGTGACACACACGGATAACCTCAGCACTAGGGAGGCTGAGGCAGGAGGATCACTGTGAATTCAAGGCCAGCCTAGGCTACAGACTGAGTTCAAGGCCAGCCTGGACTACATAACAAGATCTTGGTTTTTTTAAAAAAAGGTACCAGAAACTAGGTCTGGGCCTAGTGAAGGGAACCCTGCTGTGACTGACACAACCTCTTTTCCACACCAGGTCGAGAGTTATAGCACGGACCCGCTCGTCTACCATGGAGGGCTGAAAGTGTCCTTCGGCATCCAGCTGCTGAACGCCGTGGCGCGGGTGGAGCGGGGGATGCACAAGCTGACCCTGCCCTTCCTGCTGCTTCAGGGCTCAGACGACCACCTGTGTGACAGCAAAGGGGCCTACCTCCTCATGGATGGGGCCAAGAGCCAGGACAAGACACTCAAGGTGAGCAGCCACCCTCCGGCCATCCTTGGACACCACCCAGGCTGCAGGGACCCCGCAGGGACCATCGTGGCATGGCTGGGAGACAGACACCAAGGTCTGTTAAGGCCCCGAGCACACATGCCTTTAGCTGTCGTTTCACATGCATGAGCCACAGGGGAAGAACAGAACTTCAGAAGACGGCATGGGCAAGAAAGGACCCACGGCTCAGGCCTTGGGCAAAGGAATCTCCCCAGACTGTGACATCCGAGCCCCAAGGATGCCGGGGTGCCCAGCACCCTCTGCAGCGGCCATGACAGCTTGGGGCAGCTGGGCGCTGGACAGCCAGGCAGGGCCACCCTGGGGGAAGTCGACTTCCTCTTGGGTCTGAGCAGCAAGTGACAAGTTCTGGCTTGAGAAGGGGATAGGAAAAAGGGTGGAGAGGGCGAGACCCGGGGGGACATGGCGCCTTCATCCCGGCCGAGAGCAGGAGCTTGGCCTAGGGTGCCGCAGGGAAGCGGGGCCGAGCCTGTGTGGCGAAGGATCCAGCACGGTGGACAGCAGGGCAGTGGCACCTGAAGAATAGAAGCAGGGCTGGTGCCAGAGTCGTAGCTTACACCCGGCAGAGGCGGTGCACAGGGTTTCTCCCGCAGCACAACATGCGCACGCGCGCACACATACACGCACACACCGCCAGACTGCCCCGGGACCCAGCCACCGCACTCCTGAGTGCGCCGTGACCAAGCAATGGCATCAGCCCTGCGTCCGCAGACAGGTGACTGGGGGAAGGAAACGCTCACCCAAGGCAGGATCCCACTCTGCTGCAGGAAAAACCTTTTCAGCTGCATGGAGCCCAGGGCGTCATGCTGAGTGACATCAGCCAGGCACAGAAAGATACCGCTGTCCTAGTCACTTTTGAGGTCGTGGGAACAGTGCCGACTCCCGCAGACTCGAGGAGGAGAGGTTTATCTTGCCTCACGTTTCAGTCCATAGCCTGCCGGCTCCAAAGCGAGATGGCGGGGAGCCGCGGCACAGGGCCCAGCAGAGGACAGCTGCTCGCAGCATGGTGGGCAGGAAAGGAGTAATGGGAGGAGCCCTTCCGGGCCACGCCCAGTGCCGCCTCTTCCAAGCAGACCCCACTTCCAACAGCAAGGCAGCTCCGAGCCCCTGTAACGCGGCCACCTTCTGAAGGCCCGCGCTGGCTGTTGGGGGCTGTCTGAAGAGAAGCCAGATCACCATGTGTCCTCATATGTGGGCAGAATCCCTTCAAGTCACCTGGGTCTGGTACAGGACACCCTCCTATGAGCCGGATCGGAACTGTTGGCCCCACCAGGCTTGTTCCAGGATCCCCAAGGGCATCAAGCCCAAGGATGCCCAAGCCCCTCGTGTAAAATGGCCTTGTATTTGCATACAACCTACATGTACGGACCATTTAAACCACTCTTGAGGCCATAGAGTGGTTCTGGGGTCTGGCGGGCGGAAGGGGTGGAGAAGGCTGAGGAGACCCCGAGCATCGGCTGTAAAGTCCCATTGGCAGAAGCAGTGGGTTCCAGTGTCTGCTGCGCAGGCGGCTGCAGGTAATTGCGTTGTGTATGTTTTCAAAGAGCCCGAAGAGAGAATTTTGAGTTTTCTTACTACAAAGAAATGATAGATCTTTGAGATGATCCATGTGCTAATTTAAAATAAGGCTACATCTTTCCCAGCCTGCACATGGCCCTAGATTCCCTCAGCACCACAGAAAGAGCCCTGAAGGGTCAGCCCTCGGGTGTGGGCTTGCGAGAAGGAGCGGCCCGTGGTCCCTGTTCTGAACTGTGACCCTGGCTGGGGCAGAGCTGAGGACCAGCAAGGGCTCCGCTCTGAGAAAGTAACGCACAAGGCTAGTAGGAGCAGGCGCGGGGAGAGCTCAGGCAGAGACAGAAGCCCAGGGTCGCACGAACTGGAAGGGGCTTCAAGACCCAGGGCTAGAGGGGCTTGCTAGGGAGACCCGAGGAGCAGCCTGCCGGCCCATCTGCAAGGTCACCAGGGTGGCAGGAGTCCCTCCTAGGTGGGACAGATACTACGTGAGGATAAAGCCAGTCTTGCTGGAAGGCGAGAAGTCAAATAGCATGTGGGCATCAAGGGTGTCCTGGCCTGGCACGGGCAGGTCACAGAGACCCTGCCACAGACAGCTGCTGAGGACTGGGGAGAGTGAAAGGTGGCTTGAGATGTGCTAACCCCAGCTGGGCACATTCGGGCACATCTGTAGTCACAGTTGCTCAGGAGGCTGAGGCAGGAGGATCATTTGAGTCCAAAGACTTCAAGATCAGCCTGGACAACATAAGGAGGCCCCACTGAAAACAGAAGGGTAATGTGGGCCCCGGAGTGACGGGAGGTGAATGCCAAGTGCTCAGGCCACAGGGAGAGAGGGTCTGGGCGTCGTCGCACTCTCCTGTCCCCTGAGTCCCACAGCTCCTGACATACAGCCCTGACCGTGTTTCTCCCAATTGCAGGTCTACGAAGGCGCCTACCACATACTTCACAAGGAGCTGCCCGACGTGACCAGCTCCGTCTTCCATGAGATAAACATGTGGTTCTCTCAAAGGACGCGCGAGGCGGGAGGCAGATGTCCGCCCTGAGCCAGGGGCTCGGCGCCCCCACGCCTGGGGCCCGGGAGGTGGGCAGAGGAGGGCGGAGCCAAGCAGGAAATCAGGAACCAGAGGAATCCCTAACACAATCTACTTTAAACAAAAAAAGAGACATCCTTGTCATGTGTAACGCTAGCAGCCACTGGATCTGCCCTAGGGGTGGACACTTCGACACTTTATGGAGGACAGAGAGGAGGGGGAGAGGGCGGAGAGAGACAAACACTTCTCCATGGCGGGACCGCGGTGCAGTGGCCTTTAGAGTGCACACACGCCTCAGCCCACCTCTCCAGCCACACAGGTGCCCCGGGCCCTGTGCCCGGGATGCCAGCCTGCAATAATTGGAGGAGCCCCTGCCTGCCCCACCGCACCCCCTCCCAGCGCCCCTTTGGCCGGAGGTAACCCCTGCAGGTGGTGAGGTGACCTGTGTCTCCACCGAGGTTGCCCATCGCCCGGTCAGCCCCAGTGCGGCCGTGGCCAAGGCCGCGGGGGGCACTTGCCTATAGGCGAGCGCTGCACAGGGACCCCTCCCTCCACCCCAGCGCCGGGCCTGTCCACGGGTGGCCTTGGCTGGGCTGCTACTTCCTGGTGCTGTGAGATGATAGGGGATGAGGAGGAACTGACACCCGTGAGTGACCCACCAGGCCTGGGTGCTCGGCAGACAGGGGTCAGGGCAGCTGGGAGGGCCCCGGAGCTAAGCCGCACCCCAGGGAGGGTGGAGGACCCTAGTCCGCCCGGCCTTCCCTGCCCTTGAGTGGCCAGCGTCTCCTGGAGTCACAGTGCTGGCCCCACAGCTACCTCTGGTGGCAGCAGGAGGGAACCGGCCACCCAGTCGGGGCAGAGGCCAGCGAGCCACCCTTCTGGGACAAGGCCTGAGCCCACTACCCTCTCAGGTGCCAACCCAGCCTGGCCCTGCCCTGGCCTCACTAGCGCCAGCAATAAAAGGGGACCCGGCCCACTTGCCCCAGGGGCGCCCTCACCTCAGGAGTCCCCTGTGAGGCTGCCGGGACTCACAGGGCTGGTCCCCGTGCCTGGGGTCCAGAGCAGGCCACCCTGCTGCAGGCAGTGACGGTCAGCTGCCCGGGCTTTGGGTGTGCCCCGCCCTGGGGTCATCCATTCCACGAACCCCGGCTGCCCGCGGCCTAGTGACAGTTTCTGCCGTCTGTAACCTGCCAGGCGCCCTGGGCTCCGGTCTGTGGCTCACCCAGAACTCACTGTCTCCAGGCCCGGGCACTGTGTCCTCTCCCGGAGGCATGTGACGGCAGTGTTCTTCCCAAGGGACGTGGCCGCGTGACTCGACCACGGTCCCCTAACATGGTCAGCTCTTAGGTGACTGGCTAGAGCGTCATTCCTGAGACGGGGGTGTGAAACTAGGCCTGTCCTGCAAAGTCCGGAAGAGCGGACAGAGGATGTGGACGCACCGCACCCGTGGCTGACTCGGCACCACCTGGCGTCCCCTACTCCAGAGCCCAGAGTCCCACCTTTGTCCTCGGGAGGCTGGGTGGCTGTGACATTCGGCCCGGCCAAGCCAGGCCACTGCGGGGAGTGAGAGGCCGGGTGACCAGGCAGAGGGGGCGGAGGCGAGAGGGGCAGCGGGGCTCCCTCCGCGCAGCGCAGGGATTAGGTGAGTCTCTTTGGATACGGGTTCTGGCTCTGACAATCGTTTTAGAAGAAGAGGCCTCCTGCAGGTCGTGGGGGTCACAGCCCTCAGGTCCCAGGGACTCGGCACCACAGGCTCCAGGTTACGCCGCATCCGGCTAGCTCACGCGTCTTCTTTCTCTTGCCCGTTGCTAACAAGAACCTACTACGATCAAAAAGATTTTCCAAGCAATTCACCAATCTTATTATCACCACGGCTCGGCACGTATACTGTTTGTGGGAAATGCGTGTATCAGCTTAGAACTATTAAAGGAGTCAGTGTATGCCACAGCTAATCTTAATAAACCAGATGTTTTTGGTGTGCTGGCTGTGTCTGTCTGTCTTTCTGTTGCCATGGGTCTCCATTCCAGACAAATGTGCCTGGGGACAGAACCACAGGCCCTTCTGCTGGGGCCTGTGAATGAGTGAATGAATGAGTGAGTGAGTGAGTGAGTGTGTGAGTGAGTGAGTGGGTGGGTG